CGGAAAGTAAGGAGATCCGGAATCATCCGGATCTCGGGGGGTAGTTCATTCCAGAGGGTGGGGGCACCCACAGAGAAGGCCCTCCCCCTGGGGGTCGCCAGCCTACATTGCTTGGCCGACGGCACCCTGAGGAGGCCCGCTCTGTGGGAGCGTACCGGTCTATGGGAGGGAATCTGTGGCAGAAGGCGGTCTCGGAGGTGACTGAGAACTTCCACAGACATTCAACTCAAGGGAAGGCAAATATTGGTTTTGCCTTTCTTTATTTTGCCTTAATAAAGAGGCCCAGATCTTTTAACAAGGTGAGTTATGTAACAAACGGATCTTTTATTTGGGCAGGAAGTAGAACAAATGAGTATTGACCCAGAATCATTCTCTGGTACTCCCTAAATCTTTGAACTAAAAACTCTGGCAAAATGCAAGGCAGCTATCCCCAAATTCTTTGACAATACCTCATACACACCATATGGTCAAGATGATGGTTGTAATGGTACAATTGAAACTCTGTCCATTTCCACTGCGCAATGCACACCCTGCGGACACCCCTGATCTCTGGGGGAAGGAGGGGAGAACTTCCTTTTGCTATTTCTTGTACGAATATAGGCGATGTTGTGAGAGAGAGGAAGTGTGTGCACATTTATGTTCACACTGGGATCTTTATATATCCAAAGCAACTTCAGCCACACAAAATAGAAAGAGGTGAACAGACCTGGAGAAGTCTTAATCTTTGTATAAGTATTTAAAAATACTTAATACTTATGTTGCGAACTAGTTACAAATGGTAAATAGGAAAGCATCCAGATGTAGACAAGGAATCTACAGAATAAATTTTGGAATGAGGGAAACATGGCATTTCATAATAAGCGTTCCCTCGACCCATGGAATGTGAATGGTGAAGTCAGTCTAACGTTATAACTACCGTTGGGAAAGAGTCTTGTAAGTTTGGTTCACCTAGCACTCATATTTGTGTGAGACAACCTTTTCGGAACAGAAGGAAAACCTTCGTTTTGTTTAATGTTAATTTTATCGTGCTAAGTATATATACAAGGTACAAAAATGTATCCAAGGTATATCTTTTGCCAGCCAATGAATGTTCAAGGAGAGGCAAAGTTATAAGGAAAGCTACAAACAGGAAAAGCCAAGAAAGTTCCCTCTCTGACAGGCAAGAGAAATCATGCTTTTCAAGATAGCTCTCTAGTCCAGGGCTTTTCAACCAGTGGTACGGGTCCCACCTGTGGTACATTGGCACCTGGCAGGTGGTACGCGACCATCCTAGAAAAATGGTAGCAGGGGAGGGGAATGAGCTGAACCAGTGGCAGCACCACACAAGCCTGAGCAAGAGATGGCTCGAGCTGCAGGGCTATGAGGGCTCAGCGGAGGCGCCAGGATCAGTGCCGCTTTCCAGCTGATCACCGCTTCTTCGGGACTGTCAGGGCTCTGTGAAAGCGCCAGGATCAGCGCCAGGCTCCAGCTGGAGCTCGGCGCTGATCCTGGCACTTCTGCTGAGCCCTGAAGAAGCACCAATCAGCTGGAATGTTGCAGCATCTCCAGGATCTTGTGATTTACATTCAGCTGCATGGCAACTGATTCATATTTATGACGGTCACAGTGTCCCATGGTCATGTGAAGTGACCAAAACCTGCTGCAACCACCCAGCAGATGGGGGGAATAAAAACAAAACACCCCCCACCTCACCCCTGCTGCCAATTCTCAACAGAAATGTTCACAACAATGAAAACCTCGGACAGGAGGAAGAGCGCCACAGGCAGGTGTCTTGCTCGGCTGTGCCTTGAGGGGGCACTTTTTTCAGTGCCATTGTAACTTTGAACAGTCACTAAGCAAACTGTTGTAAGTCAAGGACTACCTGTACTTTATCACTTTTTTCCTTTTTGGGGGGGGGTCATCAAGTTTTTGACACCTTGCTAGGCGACTGGTGGTACTTGGATGTTGCCATATCCTAAAAATGGTACAATGGGTGAAAAGGTTGAAAAGCCATGCTCTAGTTCACCTCACAAAGAGATAGAACAAGGAAGACATAACAGAAATTGTGTTGCAAGCAAGATTTTTTTTTTTTTTATTAGGAGCCAACACATCACAAGGCAGTCATCTATTCTGGACAGAGACAGGGAAAAAGGCAGATACCATTCTGGATGCAATTTTAGAGAACGCTGGAGAATTCCACTGTAAATTCACTTATTTCAGCAAAACAATATTATAGAAGAACAGAGCTTTCAACATAATTTTGTATTCTGCTTTTTAATACACAATTTCAGAAAACCTTGTGTGAAAACTCTCTCTTTTTCTTTTTAAGCAAGGAGCACTTCAAGGACTAACCAGGGCTTGTTCTAAAGAACTGAAATATCTAAAATGTAAGCAGCAGTTAATTCACTGTTAAAAATGTCCCATACAGTAGTATTTTGCAGATACAATGGCTCTAAGAAATATGTATTTGCAGCTTCGGCAGCATACAAGCTTGCTCGGTTGTTCTAATGCAGCGGTTCTCAACCTTTTTAATGCCGCGACCCCAACCGGTCGTAAGTCGAGGACTAAACCGGTCGTAAGTCAAGGACTAAACCGGTCATAAGTCGAGGACTACCCAACCGGTCGTAAGTCGAGGACTTTCCTTGCCCGGGAGCGCCATGCATGCGTGGTTCTGCCCCCTGCGCCGGCTGAGGCGTAGCTGGCAAGCGGCAGAGACGGAGCAGGCCGACCACCAGCTGGCCCAGCCCAAGGGAGGTAAGGCACCCGCCGGAAAAGGGGAAAAAAAATGGCGGACAAAAAAAATGGCGGACAGCCTTGCTTGGCGACCCCCGTGAAATGGTCGATCGACCCCAAATGGGGTCCCGACCCACAGGTTGAGAACCACTGTTCTAATGTAAATCATCTTTGATACTGTTGAAGTACAACCAGCATTATAACAATTCATGGTAAGTCCTTGGAAATCACCATTGTCTCAATTGCTATAATCAACCCGCGGTTCCAGAACTGACAGAAAAGCTAGAAGAGCAATTGCAAGAGGACTGAAATTTAACAGCTAAACTAGAACAAACAAAAGGCAGTTCAAATAACTGGAGTCCTTCCAGCTGACGCCAGCCAAAGCGGACCTTTTCAAGCCTGTTATTAATTTGACCTCAAAGATGCCAATGCAGAAGAAAGGTTGATTCTGCCCTGTACTGATTTTGATCAACTTTTTATTTCCTTCCTGGTTTGTTTATATAATGCTGGGTAACTGCTGAACATATGTCTCCTATTTAGAATTATATTTGAAAGGGCTGACTTCACCAAAGTATCAAAATCTGGAAGGTTTCAAAGGCTGCAAATAGAAATCATGATAGCTAATATTCATGCTATTTATTAGCATTATTATTAGCATTAACGTTTCCTATGACAGGGTCACAAAATACAGCAGCCCATGCACAGCACAATTGTCATACAGAAAAATCAGTGCCAGTTACCATAGGTTTGCTCCCAGGAGGACAAGTGCTGCTATTAAGGAACTTACAATCCACACAAGAACCCTGTAATAAAAGCCAAGGATAAGAAGTAATTAATTGATTGATTAATAGATTTTTTTTAAATGTTGTGTTGCTAAGCTTATAGCTGCCGTCACAGCTGCCAGACTGAAGAAAGATATTCTGCAGATTATGCACGAGCAAAATTAATTTAAAACAGAATTACATGATCATCTATTCCCCTCCCATGCTGAACATAAAGATAACATAGACTGATATGTTATTTCATAGACATCTTCATTGTTTTGCTCAGTGATAAATCCATGAAAAATGCATCTACTGTAAGAAAAAATTGCAATATGGTCCATTCAGGAATTTTATTGAGTTCTTGTGTTCTCTGATTTATTGAATTCATGTGTTCTCTGATCTGCACATGCTTTATTGCAGGGTTACATTACACCATCAATATTAGTCTGGTAATAAACCATCTGCAGGAAAACAACCTGCAAAGCACACAAAAACTCAACTTATTAACCCTCAGCTACATAGATTCTCTAATATTGGAAGGAATTTTATTTCTGCCGCTTATCAGCTGTTTTAATTGACTTTTTAATTTAAATAAAACACTGGTTGCTGGGGGATGAGAAATACGATCATCAAGCCATCTCTTGCTTTGCTGGATAAATTGAAGGCTTTGTAGCCTTAGAAGGTTTAAGAGTTAAGGTTAATTCAGTAGCCTGGCAACTCAGTAACACCCAGCACTTAATTCCAGTTCATAAGGAGCTTGCAATAAGAAAACTTGAATTATGTCTACAGAGGGATACAGTATGTTACTTCCTCAGATCAGCCTGATTGTGGTCCAGTCATCTCTTTAGCAATTTAGGGGAAAACTGATTGACACTATTTCCTCAGGTCTATGATTATGAGGAAAATTATACCTGCCAAATGTTTCCTTGCTCTGAGCTAAAGATTGCTCCTGAATTCCTTGAGGTTTACATATACATACCCCTCTATTTACAATAATTTTAATATATCTTCTGTAAAAAAAAAAAGTCAGAAATCACTGTTTGTATACTTTTGTTTCAATTGCATTGCCTTTTCTCTTTCTCACTCTCACTTTTTGCTATTTTTAAACATTTCTTTTCTTTTTCTCTCTCTGTAGTATTAAAGAAAGAAAGCAAAAAATCCAATACAAAACAACTCTAAAGGCAGGGGAGAACCCCTGCCCCATCCCACTTCATCCATCAGAATGTCACTAAATGTTTTTCTTTGAGGAAAAGGGAAATGAGTTTGTGTGACAAAATGTAGAGGAAATATTCAGCACATTATAACAAAAACAGAAACCGCTTATTTTCTACTAAGCATGCAGTATTTCTAATGCAATTTTGCATATTTCTTTTTGCTGCTTAAATCGTACTAAACATCTTAAAAATATGCTCTCCTTTTACAGCTTGTAGGTAACACCAGATGAGAAATGTTTCAATGTTTTTGTAAAAATAATAATAATAAATCTGTCCTGTAGCATCCACGGGAACAGCTGCAATGGCTGCAACAGTGTCTATGTAAGATCAGTGTCTCAAAGCCTGGCTACTTCTCTGTATAAGCAAGAGGAAGCAGATGTTTTCAGAAAGGTGCTGAATCCTTATCAAGCTAAATGGCAGAGGCTGAGTCAACAGGAAAGGCTAATTCTCACAGGAAATGCAATATGGTGGCCTCTGAAGAGCCAAATGGCTTTTGAGGTTAAAAATAGTCTAGGTATAATGTGTACATAGACAAACATTCATTATCTTTTAGACTTGGAGTAAAAAGAGGAAATTCATCGGGCGGGGGGGGGGGGGAAGCTGAATTTGCAGAAAAAGTACATGGAGAAAATGGCTGCTGGAATTGGACTGGCAGGTCCACAAATAACCATCTTATACCAGGGGAACAGACTGGGTTTGTCTTGACAGAATGTAGCCTTTTCTCATCACCCCAGACCTTTCTATCTAATATATGGTAAAAACAAACAAGAGAAAGAGAAAATTGGATATCCTTGGTTTACCTTCACAACTTTATAATGTACTTCATTACACTTCTTTGGCAGAATTGGGAGTATAGATGAAGGAATCAAGATACCATCCAAGATATGAATAATACCGTTTGAAGCCAAAATATTCATTTTGCTTATCATAACCTTGGAATGATCCAACAGAATCCTTCCCTGGAGTAAGAAAAAAAAGCATTTGCTCACTGCATTGCCAGAAGTCATCAAAACACATCTGTGTAAAGTAGACCCTGTCAAGGTATTGGGATAACTCAATATTGGAGAAAGCTATGCATAAAAAGAATTTGTACATAAACCTGCCAGCTACTGTCCCTGGAATGTAGTCAGAATCACGGGCAACTTCTCCAGTCTCTTGTTAGACAGGATAGTAATATTCTAGGAATTTCAGTGCAATAGTACTTACATCGTTACTGATCTCAACTGTCAGCAATTGGTTTGCCATGGTCAGAATATGTGGCATCATTATTAGTCTTTCCACATAGACCTGGAAAAGATTGAATTTATTCATATATTTACTTGATTTATATAGCTGCCCATCTCACATACAATTAACATTCTCAGGTGTTCAGGCCTTGGACCAATATGTTCAGTTCACAGCCACTTTCATTATGGCCAGAGAATTGCTTGGGTTCCTAGTTGCTTTTTCACTAGAGATTCACCTAGCTGAAGTCCTTCTGGTGGAGTCACAACCTTTTCCTTAACTCCATGGTCTTGATCCAAACAGGGATCCTCCCATGATCACGTGTAATCTCTTAGACATTGATTGAAATTACAGTGCGATTACTTGAGAATAAATATGGAGAGGGTCCAATTATAATTNTTGCTTGGGTTCCTAGTTGCTTTTTCACTAGAGATTCACCTAGCTGAAGTCCTTCTGGTGGAGTCACAACCTTTTCCTTAACTCCATGGTCTTGATCCAAACAGGGATCCTCCCATGATCACGTGTAATCTCTTAGACATTGATTGAAATTACAGTGCGATTACTTGAGAATAAATATGGAGAGGGTCCAATTATAATTTTGAACTGAAAATTACAAGGCTCAGGAGACAATTTCAGGAGACCAGTAGAGGTTTTGTCCATATAGGACATGTTAAGTGGTCTGAGAACATGTAATGTCAGAACCTAGTTTACAAAGGAGCATGAGAAGTTACTGCCTGGAAAAATGTTTTAAGATTAAGATCATCATCATCATCATCATCATCATCATCATCATCATCATCATCATCATCATCATCATCATCATTCTAGCCATTGTCTATCCACTGCAAGATGAAGGCTCTTCTGCATGTTTCCAACAACCTCTTTTACATGAAGAGGCCATGCAGAAGATTAAGATACATATTTAAAATTCAATAATTGAGCCATGAACAGTGGTTTCTTACTGGGCAAAAATGAAAACTGCCCCTGTTTGTTTCAATTAGTTTTAAACAAATAGATTTAGTTTAATAACTATACATCTCTTTTGAAAAGACTTGCAGTAGCATGGCATAAATGACACGCTTGCTCCTATTGTTCTATTTTTATTGTGCTAGTTCCCTAAAGAAAGGGACCTAGTCTCAAGCAATACATCGGACTTTAGGAGACCCTCTTGTCCATCTGTGTTTCCTCTTCACCAGTCCAAGAGCCTTGGCAAGGAGCAAATTACATGTGAAAGTGATGAAATGAACTTGGAAAGCAAAAGCAACCTTACCGCTGCTGTGGGATAGATATGATGTTTCACAAGTTCCTGAAGCTTATTTATGCCCTAGTACAGGAAAAAAAAACAATTATAAAAAATCCTTAGATTTAATGGCTGATGATTGCACAAGAGAATGTGAATAACAATCTCGTGTGCATGTAAATTATATTGCAAAACCAGAGTTTCTTCCTGAAGGACAGCATGACTTGTATGAATATGCCAAATTAATTTTTACCCTAAAAAGTTTGAATTGAATAAGAAGAGATTTTTGCATTGGCCAGTGCAAAAGGATCAGAGTGATAAAATGAAAATTAAAAGCTGTGATGCGACATCCAGAAAAATACGGCATACTCCATTTAATCCTCCAGGGAAAGATTGAAGGCAAACGAGGTCCAGGCAGAAGAAGAACATCGTGGATTCAAAATCTAAGGGACTGGTTTGGACAAAACTCAGCAGCACTTTTTCGTGTGGCTGCTGATAAAAACAGGATCACCAACATGATCGCCAACGTCCGATAATGGATATGGCAGAAGAAGAAGAAGAAGAAGAAGAAGAAGAAGAAGAAGAAGAAGAAGAAGAAGAAGAAGAAGAAGAAGAAGAAGAAGAAGAAGAAGAAGAAGAAGAAGAAGAAGAAGAAGAAGAAGAAGAAGAAGAAGAAGAAGAAGAAGAAGAAGAAGAAGAAGAAGAAGAAGAAGAAGAAGAAGAAGA